TCAATTCTAGGGGAAATCCACATATTCACTCACATTATTCTTTTATTAGTCTTTATCATTACATTAAATAACTTCAACTTAAACATTCTTATCAGTGAAACTTTTGTCATTTCATTAATTCCTGATGTACCTAATATATTTGTATCTTCTAATTCCCATTACTTCCATTACTTTTCCCCAAACTTCCATTACTTTTAGGTTTATTAAGCAGATTTCTTTTTGTTTCTTTTTTGATAATATACTACTGAGTTGTGCTATCCTATTCATTTATATCTATTATCAACTTAAAATACTACATAAGAAAGGGCTGGCATATTTATTTCACATATACATAATTACTAAGTGCCAGCAGCTGGTGTGGTGTAAGACAGAGGGGTGAAAGAAATAGGGGAAGGGGAACTGGAGAAAGAAAAGTCGGCCTAAGCGAGTCTGAAACTAATGCTCATAAGACTAGTTTATTTCAGGTGTTACATGATTATATACTATAGAAAACAAATTTATACCGTGAGAAATGATCTACAAGTGCTAATTAATAACATAAACAATCTAAGCAGCTAAAGATCCTCATTTTCTCACAAGAAAGTAGTTTTAATGCCAAACTTCATATCTATTGTTTCCCTGCCCAATTCTTAGTATTGTCTACCAGAGTCAGCCACCTGGCCTCAAGGCTGAGCATGAGTGAGAACTTAGAATCAACAAACTATAACAAATAGAGCTAGGGCAAGAGTCATGGAAGCGTTTATCTCGAGGCAAGTCTCTATGCGTACTGACCCCTAAAGTCTATAAGGACTTAGAGGTTTTCCATAAGGGTTGGCCCCCTACAACTAAGCATTGTATGTTCTCCTCCATGGAGCTTCAAGGTTCAAGATGGAAGATAACACTTGGAGTCAGTGAAGTCTTAATTCTTCTCTTACCCTCCATTAGATTATAAACTCCTTGGGAATATGGTTTGTGTCATGTCTCACTGAACACAGTGGGCACTGAATAAATGTTTTATGCATTGTTATAACACTTCTAATTAGGTGACTTAAAAATTGTGCGTGTTTTTACTGTTTTATTTTCCTGTTCCAGTCACCCAAATGAAAGACCTGAATTTCAGAAGTCATGTAGGGAAGAAACAGTCCTGGACTGGTAGAAAACTAAGCTCTAATTCCAGTTCAACTAAATAATAATTTTTCACATATTATTTGATTTATATGGGAATCTTTTCCTGTACATGTATAATAAAGCAAGTGAATAAATCAACCCCTAATGTCCTTCAATGATGATGATCTATGAATATGATTCCTTGACTCAGGAGAAATAAAAAATTTCCCACAAATGGGTAAAACACAAAAACAGATTCCATATGTAGAATTGTCCTATTCAGACATTTGAAAGGCAACATGGTATAGTGGAACACTTAAATCAGAATTAAGAAAAACTGGGCTCATATTTCACCTCAAATACTTTCTAGCTATTTAATCTTTGGAATGTCATTTGATATCTCTGGGCCTATGTCCCTAATTTGTAAAATGAGAGGTTTGGACAAGATAGCCTCTAAATCCACAAACTTATGATTTGCAGTCCCTAAAATTGAGAATTGAACTCAACAAAAGTCTTAGAAGAATCCTCAGCAATTCGTAAGTGAAGTAGAAAATACAAAGTTGAAGCTTATGTGCACGTTTGTGCAGACAGGTCTTCTTTAACTTTTTTTCTTTTCTTATAGTTTATCAACATGTAAATTCATGTTATTATTGATTTTCCCTAGTATTCGTTTCTTTTTCGATATTTCAAACAACACATGAAAGCTTAGTAGTTTATTTTTTACTTGTGCTCAATTTAAACATATATCAAAAAAGCATGAAAGGTATATTTCTTTTTTTTTCTTAATGAAGATGGAATATAAAAGTTTAGTTTGTGTCGTAGTGAGTTTGATCTGAATTCAGTTGCTGGTAGATATAGACAGAAGACTTTAAAAAACTTTTTTGTAACTGGAAAAGATCAGTTTTGGAAAATAGGAAATGCTACCCTTTGATCATAAAATGAATCAAGTCAACTTACTTCACTTGCATGCTCATGGTTAGTTCTATATTTTTTACTACAGTTACTTTTAAGAGGGATACATTGGATAAATCACTGTATATTCATTTCTGCACTTCAGTCTGCTTTTGCTATTTGATGACTATCAATAAGCCTACTACATTTTCCTCCCTCTTCTCTTCTTATTAAAAAAAATATGCTTACAATTGCAGGACTGGCTGTTTTCCAGCATCATAGACCCCCCAGAGACGTGCATCCGGTCTCTGTCTGAGCACACTAATCTGGCCTGCAAAGTCAATCATTTCATTTATCACCCTCTATTCCAGGTTGACCTTATTCCTTTTCACTTTTCCACTGGGCTGATTTCAATTTTGTTCCACAGCAGTGTGAAACATTTACTAAAAGATGGAGAATAATTACTCCAGTAAATAGAATTTATCTCATGCTGGAAATGTCTAGCTTAACATCAAGAAATATGGGGAATGGCTGATGGGGAAAAAAAAGAAGATTGTTCTATCCCCTCCCCCAAAGACATTGCACATCAACAACTTCATGTCTAGATTGCATGGCTTTCTCTTGTCCCACTTTTATTTTATTTTATATTTTAATTTATTTTTATGTCAGGTTCTCCTCTCTCACACAGACTGAAAATATAGCAGCCACTCATGGCTTCATCCCACTATTGCCAGGCTTGGGGGCTTTGAACTGCTTCAGTTCTCTACCTGAGCTGTTTCACCCTTCCTGGTGGCCTAGAGCTCGTCATATTGGTGCTGGACTTAGTGTGGATAGATTCTCAATGGGGTCAGCTTATTGCCACTCAGAAATCCCTGCTCAAGTGATGAACAACCTCAGCATCCATTGTAGTAGAAATTACAGGTGTACACAACCATGCCCAGCTGCCCCACTTTCTAAGAAATGTAAAATTAGTTTCTTTTCTGTGTTTTCTAATCTTCCTTGTCAAATGGACAAATCTCTCCAATTTTATTTAGGCATGGGTTTTGTTAAATTGGCTTTAATATACCAGTTGATACCATAAAAACAAAAATAACAATGACAACAAAAACTTTGCTGCCTCACCTAGTTGTCTTTTCTCCCCATCCCTCCAAGCCTATATATTAATGCAACAAAACATTTAATGATTTTACTGCATCTTGTACAAACATAGAAATACTTTCAAAAACTTCACTCTTTCTTTGAATATTTAAGTTGAAATAGAAAAATAATCAGGGAGCTATTTCTTCATCATTTAAAAGGTTCTTGGGGCAGGTAAGTGGCACAATGGATAGAGCACTGGCCCTGAAGTCAGGAGGACCTGAGTTCAAATCCGGCCTCAGACCAAACACTTGACACTTACTAGCTGTGTGACCCTGGGCAAGTCACTTAACCCCAATTGCCTAAAAGCAAGAAAAAAAAAGGTTCTCAAGCATTGTTTATTGTAAACAAATTTGACAAATCATCCTCTTCTTCCATAACTATGTTGCAGTCATAAAACATGTCCAAGAAATGTGAAAAGGATCAATGGTATTTTAACTATTAATGCAAAATTACAGGCAACTAGGGGCTTACTTCCTGTTTCACTTGTTTTAAAAAGGAGATCCAACCCTTAAATAGTTTTTATGTTTTACACTGCTGAGATCATGGAATATCAGAACTGGAAGTGTGTTACCTAATTTTATTCATTTTATCATCTTATTGGACATGATTTTAAATCCTGAATAGAATTTAGGTCAATCAAAATAATCTCTTTGACACTGCTCTAAATGAATTGCTTTCTTAACAGTGTTTCATAATGTCAGCTATGGCACGGTTCATCATTGTTCATTTTCAAGACCAGACAGTGATTCCATAGAATAGAAAAAGAATGAATTCTTAAAGAAAAAAAGGAGAACTATGTGCCTTTTCTCATAGAATTTCATATGTTGTGAAAAAAAGAAAAGCAGATACAAAGATACATGAAGGTACAGTTCTGGATATTTTAGGATTGGGGCATCATAGTATATTAGAGCTGGAATGGAACTTAGAGATCATTATAATCCCCTTATTTTACTGAAACTGACACTCAGAGAAGGAATGTGATGTGGCTAAGGTCACATAGTTAGTGGCAGACAAAATAATTTGAACCCAGATTTTGGCCCAAAATCTTTCCATTGTACTACCTTCCCTCTATCATAAAACTAAATAAACATTGACGTTAATGGCACATAACAGCAATGCAAGGAATTGTACCAATTTGTTTGAATTCTAGAACAAAAAAACTTTCAATGAATTTTTATATACATACAGGTGTGGATGTATGTATATGTGAGTATGTCTGTATGTATTTATATTTGGACTGGACCTATGATTTCATTGGTTTAGGAATCTCCTCAGGAAGGACTTCCTTTACCAATGCAAGTCAGTAAACATTCTCTACAACATATAGGGTGAGAGTTGCTTGGGGCCACTGACAGGTTCAGTGATTTGCTTGGGATCAAATAGGGAATATATATTGGAATGAAACTTGAATTTGGGTCTTTGTGACTATGGAACAAGCTTTCAATTCAGTATTCCAAGGTGCCTCTTTTGGGTGTGTCTGTGTCATTAAAAGGCAGAAATGCACACTTTTACACGCACACACACACACACACATCTAGTGGAAAGATAATTCATTGGAATCAAAGAGACTTGAGTACTCACCTAGATTTGCTACTTTCTGAGTAGTGTTGGGCAAGGACTTTAAATTCTCTGTGTTATAAGTAACACATTTTATAAACAAGGGATTGCAGTGCTTACCTCACAAAATTGTTATGAAGTTAAGATGAGATAATGAACGAGAAAATATTTTGAAAAATCTGATGTATGATATGCATATAAAGTAAAATTATTATTTAATATTTTTCTATGTTCACTTTAAATTCATTTAAAATACAATGCCATTTATAATAGGAAAATAATTTTATTTTTCCTTTTTTGGAAAAAACACCACCACTACTCTTTAGCTGTTCCACGTACAAGTGATACACAATGCAGTTCTATCCCAGAGCCAAGATATGGAAGGAGAATTGGCTCTGAATTTTCAGCCGGTTCAATTGTTCGATTTGAGTGCAACCCTGGATATCTACTTCAAGGCTCCAAAGCAATCCGGTGCCAATCAGTGCCTAATGCATTAGCTCAATGGAATGACACAATACCAAGCTGTGTAGGTAAGCAATTATTGGCTGGGTTTAATAGTGCACAAGAGCCCTATATCAGAATTGTACAACAGTTTCAGAAAGTAGTTTTTCCTTAGACCTATATATTCATTTGCTATCAATTAATAATGGTCATGTCCAATCTAAAAGGGTAATTTGTCATGTCAGAAATGATTGAGTACCAGCTGGAGGGTAGGAAATATGGTGTTTCTTATAATAACTCATTAGATGAACAAGTATGATGCATGTTCCCCCGCCCCCTTGCATATTTATTAACTATGTGACCAATTCTAAAGCTATAAATATAGTACACAATTCTAGGGTTTTTTGAAAAGTACTATGTTGATAGATCTTTTATGTGTTGTCCCTTTAGTAAATTTTTGCTGATGAATTATTGAAAAGTCATATGCTAATCCTGAGCAAATAACAATGGTACTACTAGTTGTAGCTTATTTATTTCACTTTATGTAACAGCCTTTGGTAGAATTAAACTTAGTCCTTTGAATTCATTTGCATATTTTAAGAGTATTTTCTTTCTGATCTCGCTCATAAATTCCATTAATATCAAATAAGATACCAAGTACTTAAAACTGTGTTAGATTAATTATTTTAAACAGCACTCTTTCCAGTCATATCACTGTTCTTCATAGACCATCCTAATTAGTCTTCCTAGGAATTTTTGCCTGTATATTAAATATAACTGAGCAAATATCATCAGCTGATTTTTTAAAATTAAGAAAATATGGCTGAATTTGTACACTGATTAAAACTTGTCAAATGTGGATTGTCACTGTGTGTTTGAAAATCCTCTTAGAAGTGGATCACATCATCAGAAATCAAAACAATATATCACATTCTACTTTACGTTCACAAACTATGTGCTTAAATGTAATAATGCTTTCTAGTTCCCTGCAGTGGCAATTTCACACAAAGGAGAGGTACTATCCTCTCCCCTGGTTATCCTGAGCCATATGGCAATAACTTGAACTGCATATGGAAGATCATAGTCACGGAAGGATCAGGAATTCAGGCAAGTCCCTGTTCTGCAAAATGTGGAATGATTGGCCTCAGGACTTTGAAATAGTTTATTTATATCTTTTTATTTTAAATTTGTGGAAAATAATTTGTTTACTAGTGGTTTTTGTTGATGGTTTCTAATCTTCCTTTGTAGTTCAGAAAAATAAAGCAGAGGAAGGCCAAATCTATCAATTATTATATTGTCTGAAATTTATTATGTCTATGTACTCACAGACCTCTGGCTACCTGTATCTAAGTCTCTCTATCTATCTATCTCTCACATGAATCTAACTTTGGTTATTTTATTTTATATTAATTTACTATTATGATTTTAAGTCATTTCATTTCATTATAACTATATCTACATCTATATTTACAGCTATATTTTATACATGTCCATCTTTGGTTACTTTATTTGGTGTTATTTTACTGTAAATTTCATGATATTTTAATTCATTATATCTACATCTATATCTAAATCTCTATATACATTTTCATGAACAATTCCATTGTGTTCATTCTTGGCTCCTTTCTTTGGTATTATTTTATGCTATTTGTATCTATGTCTAGTCAGTATCTATATCTTTCATGTATCTCTCCTTGATTAGGGTTATTTTAATGTTATATCTATTATCTTTATCTCCATCTGTTTCTATTACTTTCTATAGTTAGAGTTCATTTTTTTATTCATGGTTACTTTCTTTGGTGTTATTTTATATTCTATCCCTCTTCATTTTATTAAGAATATTTATGTAATTAACATTAGTCTTTAAACTAAAAAAAAAATTAGCTAACCTAATGTGATTATGTTCCAGATTCAAGTAATCAGCTTTGCCACAGAACAAAACTGGGATTCCCTCGAAATCTATGATGGTGCAGATATGACTGCACCAAGACTTGGAAGTTTTTCAGGTAATAAAACTATTAATTCTTATTTCATAGAACTCAAATTAAACTTTCTGAACTACTGTAAAAACAGCTGTCGTATACCCAAAAAGACTTGTTTAAATTTTTGCAGTTCTTTTTGCTTATATTAATTTGGGGTTTCTAATTGCACAAATACAATCCATTATTTGTATGCATATTAATGAATTTTATCAGCTTGTATTTGATATGAAGTTAATAGTAAGCATTTACCTGAGAAATTATTTTTTAATGGACATCAAAATGCCATATCAAATCAAATAAAAAATACACACTTGTATGAACAGATATTCAGTTTTGTGCTTATTTTCATTGAAATTGTCAATTTTACTATTTATACTTCAAGGAGGGTAGTTGATTTTCCCCATATTTCCTAATGAAACATCAAACATAGTCTTCTTGCATAGACTCAAGCATAGACTCAGCCAGTACAGCAAGTGAGATAGTGGAGTGGCTAATGACAGCAGCCTCTTCAGTTACCTTTTGGTCACCATTCCCAATCAGTGCTGCCTCTTCCTTCCCATAACTGTGAAAATTGCTAGGATTCTTGGAGTCATTTATTGGTTTTCAGAGTATTTATAAAGTTGTCATTTGAGTAGGTAGCAGCTTAAATCTAATGAAGATAAGGAGATACTGATGATCCATGTAGATTTTAGAACATTTGTTACACACACATAACCAAAAGAACATCAGATTCATTTTGGAAAAATTAAAATTAAAAAAAAACCTCAAGCTATTTAGGTAAAAGCCTAAAAAAATTATACTCTTTTCAGTTCAGAAAAACAGAAATTTGTGCATGCATACACACACAAGTGCGCATACACACATACACACACACACACACACACACACACACACACAAACACACAAATAGGAATAATGTCCAACCAAAAATATGTCTTGTTTTAAGTAGTAGCAGTAAAGAAGAAAACACTTTTTGGCCCTGATTCATTTGCAGATTAGTCCTGGGAAAAGATTGCTTTTAAATCAAAGTTTCACTTTGTATTCCATGTACTGAGCATTGATTTCAATATCACCATAAGTAGTAATTAAATTCAATAGGTAAAGAAATGGAAACCTTATCTAGCTCATATTGGAACATAGAAGTGAGATTTAAAATATAAGTAGTTATCATTTCTCATAGGATTTGAAATGGGGGGAAAAGTCTCATACTGCATAGTGGCATAGTGTGTGTGTGTGTGTGTGTGTGTGTGTGTGTGTGTGTGTGAGAGAGAGAGAGAGAGAGAGAGAGAGAGAGAGAGAGAGAGAGAGAGAAAGAGAGAGAGAATAGTTTGATTCTTAGTCCTTCAGATATAAAACATGTTTCAATTAATAAGTGATATGAAATTTATCTTGAAGACTCCTAAGTAGGACTGAATTCAATTGAAGATGAGTATTAAGGTATGTCAGTTATTCAGATACATTAATCAAACATTCAATTTTATTATGAGCCTTACTTGAAGTTACGTTAGTAACATATATAGCTTCCCCCAAACAGATTAAAAAAAACATACATTTTAGAAATTAAGTAGTACATTGAATGAAGACATTGACCTTTAAAACTCCAAAGAAATCAACAGATATGAAGACAAGAAAGTAAATAATACAATGGGAAGATCAATATGTAGAGGAAATAGTTCATTCAATTGAAAGTTAAAGAATGTCTATGCTTTGTCTAAAGACATTTTCTGTGGAAATAAGTAGTGCATGCCTGTTGAGATGGTTTTATGTTCTATGTGGATGTTTAATGTACTGTTATAATTTTTTTTTAAAAATTAAATTTTTTAATTGTGCACCTTTTGGTGGTGGTATTGTAATAAAAATGAAAAATGGAAATAGAAATTCACTTCTCATCCACTAGGTTTCCAAGTCTTTTAGCATATTGTATATAGAACATGCACTCAAGAATGCTTAGTTAGTACATATTTTGGACATTACTTAGTTCTGGACCATTTTCATGAATATCTTATATCTTTTCTCTTTTTACATGCTCATGTATAGAGATGTTGGGTGAGGTTGATAGGAATCTCAGCATATCTTAAAAAGCTGATTGAACCAACTTACATAATGATCCAGTGACATGATCCAGGTAGTGTTTCTTAAATGGTAGTCATCATAGAATGGATTGGAGAGCAAAGAGTTGAGGCAAGAAGAGTCATTTGAAGGCTACTACATATAAGAATCAAAAATAACTCAGGTTTCAATTCTGAGTGATTAGGGGAAAATGATGGGAGCATTAACAAAAATAAGGAAGAAATCACTTTTAGAGATGGAATAAAGAGAAAAGGAAATTTTTTTAAATTAAATTCAATAAAAATATTCAATATTTCCTCTGGGCAAGGAAGTGTGCTAGATGTTGAGGGAGGTGTGGTGTTGAATAAAATAACAGTTTTGCCCTTGAGGAGCTTATAGTAAAGTAGAGATAATGAAATAGGTACCTGTGAAAAGGAATAATGGTAGAAAAAGTGAAGAGTCAAGGGTATGTCCTGGAGAGGAATGGAGAAATGACTGGCCTGGATATTTTGCAAAAGTGGAAATTCTAGGAGGACCCAGCCAGTCTGAGGAAGGAGTCTAGAGGGGAAATAAACTTCCAGAATGAGGAAGATTCTGTGGCATTATAGAGAAAGTTCAGAGAGTCAACAATGCAGCCTCTCCCTTTTCCTTTTTCCTTACCATTCATCAATCTGCCTTCATCATTTCCCCTCCTATCCATCCTTTCCTTCTATTCGCAGTGCCAGCACTCTAATAGAGGTGCTAAATCCCTCAGGACAGAAATATGCCATAGCCTTGCTTGCTGTCTCATCATGATGACATGAGTTAGCAAAATGCTTCCTATTGAGAAGGGTTATTTAAGTATCAAATACATAACTGCATTAATTTGCATATAGAATTACAATGGTAGAGGGAATGTGAATAATATTTTAGTGTTCATCTTATCAATAAACAAATATAAGAATCTGCAGAAGAAATTGTGCCCCATACCCTTCCTTGTCTACTTTCCCAAAAGTGACATAATAGATTTCAAAATGCTGTAATATGCTGTTATCAGTTATCACAAATAGTATTATTTTTCCTGAATCAGTTTGTGATAACTTATACTGTTTATGGCAAATTTTATTAATTTCCAACATGGAAGAATCTGCTATAAAATTTTTCTTTTCCTGGGAGGATTATATATGTATGTATGTATGTATATACACATAAAATATATAAGTATGTATTGTATATGTGTGTCATTTTGAATAAAGATATTTGAATTATTGATAAAATTGTAAAGATACTTTACAGATCATCCAATCTGACTCAGTTATTTGAGAGAGAAGACAACTGAGGGAAAGAAACCTTCAATGATTTTGCCCATTATCATCCAACTAATTGATTGGCAGACTCAGAATAACTCTAGTATCTTGAGTCCTATTGTTTCATTCATGAATTTATTCATGCATTCATTCATTAAGTTCTACTATATGCCAGGTACTATGTTAGCTCTAGAGATACATAGATAAAAACAAAACAGTACCTACCCTCAACGAGTTTATATTCTGTTAGAAGAAACACTACATACATGCATACAGAAAATTAAATACACAATAGATGACAAAATAATTTCTGAATGTAAGAGCACTAGAATCTGAAGAGATCAGGGTACTTAAGCTAAGTTTTAAAGAAGAGCTAGCATGCCTAAGACAGAGCAGCCAGTACAAAGGCACAGAGATAGTAAAGATAATGATGTTTATAGGAAACAGCATGCTATCAGTATTGCTGAAATGTATGCAGAGTGTTTGAAGCAGTCATGGGGAATAAACCTGGAGCCAACTGTGAACAATTTTAAATGCCAAACAAAGAATTTTGAATTGGATACTAGGGTTCATAGCTAGAAGGATCCAGTGGACCTAGTTGAACAAGGAAGTGAAAAGACCCCATCTTCTTTAATATTAAGTTGGTGGCTATGCAGTAGATAATTGAGAGACAGGGAAGACTGGACACATTCTAATTAGGAGAATATTTCAGTAGTCTCAGTGAAAGGCAGTAAGGGACCAAAGTATGGTAGTTATGTTACAAATGGAAAGAAAGGGGTGAATGTGAGGGATGTTGTGCAGGTAGAATTATTCCCATGCTCCTGGCACTAAACCATGCTGCTTCTCTCACGACTTGCATGTAGACAGAAATTTATTGAAAACGTAGCTTTTAATGGTTATGACTTAACTACTACTAATATCTCTAGGGGAAATACCTTTCTTTTGAATTGAGACATATGAATCTTTTTGATGTGTAAGTTAACATGTAAATATTTGGTAATTTGGCAAGAAATATAAATTCCCTTACTCAATTTAAGGCATATAAGAAATAATTCTTGCCTTAAAGTCCTAATCTGATGCCTCATGAAGATAACTCTGGGTTCTTGAAGATCATGCTGTCATTATTGAACAAGCTTGGGCAAAACCTATCAGACTAGAAGAACTTCACAGTCCCCATGATAATCGGCGTAGCTAAGGACTAAGAACCTCTTCACCACATTTGGCCACCAAAAAGTTATTTTTTAACTCACTAACTCATTAAGATCCATCACTAAATTGTTTAGAGGATGGAATTAATACTAGTAGAAAAAGTGCCATTTTATTGAAGTATTAAGGAGAATGTATTGTTTTATTTTTTAAAATTATTTTATAGTTATTTCATTTTTGACTTGACACTAGGATTTTCTTTGAAGTAACTACCCTAAAATTCTGGGCCCATCATTGTCAATTTCTTCCAAAGAATAACTCATCTCTATCAATTAATTGAATTGTGCTTCCTTATTAAAGTTAAAGGATCATTTTAATAAGACTATAAAATACAATGCATTAATAAATGTTTCTTCATTTGTGTATTATAACAAAGAAAAAAATCATTCAATTTGCTTATCACTTTTAAGAGAGCCCATCTTATTGTACTTTATGATTTAAATATTTGACTATCTTGGGAATTTCCCTTTTTGTTATTTTCCTATTTCAAAACTTTCTTCAGTATTCTAATTTCTTTTTTCAAATGTGACCTTAGCTCCTCTGTGTCTCCTACTGATTCTTCAGCTGGTATAACATGAGCTAGGGCATTTTAAGTGAAGAGAAAGTATTCAATATAAATGAATATATGCCTTCCTTTTTCACACAGTTTTGGTTGAACTCATTCAGAGACCTCTGTGGGAACATCATTCAGTGTTAGTCACAGTGGGAATAGAAAAGAGGTTACCAGTCAAAAGCTATGTCCCATGAATAATGTATTGGATCAACACCTTCTGGAATGACTATCCCCAGCCAGACTTCTGTGTGGTATTGAAATGTTCTTCCTCCTGATGGCCTTGTCAAATTGACTAAATGGAAAAGGCAGACATTCAAAATGAAAAAAGAAACCAAAGTAGAGAATAAAGCATAAAAGTAATAAGCGTTTATGTGGTATTTGTATGATTTTGGATGTTCAGCAAGTTGTCTATGTCATGGTACATTAAGAAATTATCTGGTGGAGAACTAAAAAGATAACTTTGTTTTAAAAATACCTGTTTAAAATACTTTGTTTAAAAATATCTGATCAATCCTAGGATCATTCCTAAGATGCATTTGAGTCCAGCTCTTAATTTTACAGATAAAGAAGTTGAGGCACAGAGTTTATGTGATTTACCCAGGATTACAAGGTGACTCAGGAGGGATTTGAACCTAAGTCTTCCTGTTCCAAAGTTCACCATCTTATCCTCTGTACTATGCTGGTACATGCATGATTCTGCATGATACAAAGCTGACTCTCTGTCCTTTTATATTTTGTTACCCCATCATAGAATTGTCTCCTTCCCATTCTTTAAATATCAGTTTAGGGACCACTTTCTCCACAACATTTTCCCCAAGTCCCCCAATTATAAGTGATCACTCCTTTCTCAGATTTCTGCTCTACTCTCTTTAATTCTTTCCTTATCTATTCATTATACTATAACTTTTTTTAAGTTATTGGGAATACTTCCTTTATCTCTTCTACTAGAATATCTATATGCCTATTAAGACAGTAGTCTGCATATGACAACTTGACAAATAATTGGTGTTTGAGGAACAGAATTAAATTGCTTTGCAGGAATAAGCATACCTTTTCAAATGTTTCACATGTAAAAAAGAATAATGTTTAAAAGTGGCATGAATTGTAATTAAGGTTAAACTATTTTGTCTATTACAGGTACTACTGTGCCAGCATTGTTGAACAGTACCTCCAATCAACTCTATTTGCACTTTCAATCAGATATTAGTGTGGCAGCAGCTGGTTTTCACCTGGAATACAAAAGTAAGACCTAATATCTGACCTTTCAGACTTGGCCTATTGTCACTAGTTTTCTAAGAAAATTGTTTTATGCTGTAAATATAAAGTCAAACACAATGGTAACCCAAAAGCCATTTTAGAACTTGTGGGATATCACCTCTCATTGAAATTTCATCAGAAAAAAAACAAGGAAAATATGTTGTCTTGTATCTTGGTGAGAAAATGTAGACATATCTTAAAATAAGAAACCCTATTAAGGTAGTTAGCTTAATGAGGTTATAACATCCTTGAAAATTAATTTAGTTTTATTGTGAAATCTATACATGTATTCTTTTTTTTTTCTGGCAGTTGGGGTTAAGTGACTTGCCCAGGGTCACACAGCTAGTAAGTGTTAAGTGTTTGGTCTGAGGCTAGATTTGAACTCAGGTCCTCCTGACTTCAGGGCCAGTGCTCTATCCACTGCGCCACCTAGCTGGCCCTATACATGTATTCTTATCAACACCTAAAAAATACAGATAACCCCATGTATTAATTTGCACTTTATTTGCATAACTTTTCTATTTCTCTTCTCAAAGAACTCTTAAAAATCTGTACTAGCAAAGAGCAGCAACTCTAGTGCTGACGTCTGTGTATTATTCATTTTAATTGGAAATGTAGGCACTGCAAAGGAGGCTCTAACCTTTTAAAAATGAATGTGAGGCTGAGTTATTAGTCTGATAAATGGGATGACAAAGGTCAAATTCACAAATCTTCTTTGATGTTTGATTATGCAGGTAAACCTTGTAAAAAGAATAAGAATTTCCAATGAGAGTGAAGTTTATTTTAGAACTTGTTTTCAAGCACTAAAAATGCTTTATGTTGATATTCATCTTCCTTAATGAGCAGTTGCAAATAAGCAAATACATAGATAAGCTTTAATAAGTTATCTTTTGAATTAAGATAAACAGTTTTTAAGGATGTAAATGCATAGATCTTTCTGAAAGACTAGATTTCCAGCTGATGATAAGCATTTAGAACCAGACACAAACCACAGGACAGTCTCATATTCTGGTTAAATTCCTCTTCTTATTGCCTCCATTTGTATGCAAGTTTGCAGCAATTTATTTAAATAGGACTGCATTAATGATTGTGCAAAATAAGGCCTTGGATATTACTTACATGGGCTACATATGGAGAATTTGCTCCCCTTTTTGACACATTTTTTGAACATCTGTAGATGGCGAATTATGAGATTCATTTCATACTAGGAGCTGACAGATGCACTCATTCATGTGGTGGTATTATGGTTGATGAATGCTCTTACCTAGTGCTCTCAAGGTAGTCCTGACTCTTCTGGCTTCTCATCCATTACCCAATGTGGAAAGATGTTATTAAAGTAATTTATCTATAAATTTCCATAGAGATGTGGGGACATTTGCTTCACCAACATAGTCATTTGTAGTTCAGTTTTATTACCAGAAAGTAGACTTATTAGAAGAGGAAAATGAGTAAATATCTCACTGAAAAAAAAAAAAAACAGGTTTAAGGCTTAACTCAGGGTTCTCATTTCTATTTTTTTTCTTTCATAGTATGTGGTGCTAATTTCTGTTTTTCCAGTTTTTATTTTCTGGCTCAAACCTCTTCATCTCTCATTTTCTAGTTGTCAAGAATGATGATTTCTATGCCTATCATTCTGAATATAAAGGCTAGAAATATGGATAATGTGAAATAATAGTAAAACTAATATTTACTGAAATCACCAGTAAAGGGGTTGCATTGATTAGATTGTAACCTGTAGAGCTTTTAATGCCTTTAATGTGTTGACCTAGCACAATGCCCAACTATAGGGTGCTTAATAAATTATTGATTAATTGGCATGACTAAACAAAGCATTTATGTCAGGGCTATAGCAAGTATTTGGCTATTGGGTCTTCACTCCAATGTGACAACATGGTGGGAATGATACAGTTTAGGGGCTCAGGGGTGCTGGGACCCCAATACCACAACACATGGGTCCTGCCAAAAAGAATTTGACCCAAGCCTTCTTTTAGCCAAAGACAAGGTTTATTAGAACATCCATCATATGGGCAGATTCTTAAGGAGTCTGAGTATGGGTCATCAGTAGCTAGATTATTAGAATCCCAGCAGTGGCTAGATTTTAGGAATCTGAGCATCTTAATGGAGACAAGATGGACCTTATATACAGAAAGCCTGTGGGAAGGATCTAGGAGTGGCCAAGTGACAGGAGGAGGGGTCTAAGGAGATCTGGATGGGAGTGGCCAGTAAACTGGAGTGAACAGAACTCCTGGGACCTGGACAATGGAGCCTAGCTAGGATTAAGTGTGGGGAATGGCTGGGGCCATAGGGAGGGCTAGGCTAGGTTAAGGGTAATAGAATTGGGAGATTAGGTGTAGCCACAATGAAAGGCCAGTTGATGGGATTATAGCCTTAAGTGAATGCCAGAGACTTGGCCATGTGGGAAAGTCCAGGGATTTTCCTTTCTGGAGTCTAGATTCCATCCTCACCATCCCCCCCTCAAACAAATGGGACCCAAATTTTTTTGGTGTAAGGGGTGAAGGTCTCGTCATCTGAAATTGCTTCTTACTGTCAAGGGGCGTAGAGCTGTCCCTGCCTGGATGGGGTCCCAAAGAGGAGGTTGACTGGAACTGAGCACAAGCTACATCCAGGGAACCAATAGACATTGGCTAGTACCTGCTGTTTGCTAGCAACTGTAGCTGAATGGCCTGTAGTCTTGAAGACACAAATCTGACAGAAAAGACTGCAGGACCCAAATGACTGGATAAAACACCCTTAGCTCTGTTTGGATTCAGATAATTCAGTTTTCCAACCATGCAGTATCAAATCCACCTTATAGCCAGACTCAGGAATAGCCAGGTGGGTAATATTCCCTTTCAAAAGAACATAATGGGGAAACTGAGCCAGGAGGATCCCATCTTAGACTTAGGCTAAAATTGTCCTCTCAGCTCTTCCTGATGCTGACTTCCCACCAGTATCATCTTCTCTGAGTAGCTTGTGGTATTTCTCTAATATGGTGGATTATCAATTATCGATGAATTATGACCCATCAAACAACTCAAAATAAAATCTTATAAGCTTTTACCTCAAACAACAAGTTTTGCTAATCATAGCTTAGGAAAAACTTTTCCAGGATTTACATCTCAAACTTAAATTTATCCTCATGTAAAAAAAGCCAATCATTAGAGATTTCTATACACTTGCAAATTCTCAGCAAGTCATACATAACCCAAACAAGCTTTTTGGCTAGTTTATACATTAAAACAATAACCAACAATAGCTAAATTATTTTAGTGGTAGCCAAATTATGAAAAGTTGCTTGACATAACTGATACAGAAAGTTCACCAATTTGAAACTTGAAACAAACCCATTACCAATCAGGTGACTTCAGTTTTGTTAAATGCACTTCCAAATTACTTTACACAGAGAATCAACATCTCATCATTAACAGTTAAAACTACAAATTTAAAAGAGCATGCTTACCCAAGTTCAGAGGCCATCTTCTTTACCTTGAGTAGAATGTGCTGAACCTGGGTAATGCTTCCAGGCAAAGGTTGCCCTAGAGCTTAAGGGGCATTGCCAGGGGTGCCCATGCCATAGCTGCTTCTTTTCCTCCCTCCTTCCTTTCCCATGTGGGGGAGGGCAAAATCAAAAGTATGGGGTAAAGGGTGAAACTCTCTTCTCCTATGAGAGGGGTTAACAGATACCCTCTTGACTGAAGGGAAGGGAGTGACCAGGTTGTACAAGTGTTTCAAAACTCCTTAATGATCAATTACAAAACCTCCAGAATATGCCAAGATATTTTTAACTGTTCTAACTTTCCCTGTAACCTCCATGAAGGAGGATTCAGAGGTGCAGAGGGAAGGGAGTAAGTAAGCCTCAGGAAACCAAAAAGCAGCTACAATTATCACCAATTCCCTAGCACTGAGGGAATTCATACACTTTCGGATAGGGCATCCATCCTTGTTCTCTATGCGGCAGAAGGTATACCTAGGTCCATGACCTTGAACCAACCCAGTGGACTGAGAGCCTAAGAGCATCAGACCAAGTGTGAGACAGCTTCAAAACTGCCAGAAAAGCACCTTCAAGCCTTGGTGCTTGGAGAGTGACCCCAACTGCAGAGCAAGAAAGTAGGGTGGGGGGAGGCTTACATACCTTCCAATCTTGGCTGAAGAACTTGAGGTTAGGCAGTTTCCCCATACGGGCCACCAAAATGATGCGGTTTAGGGGTTCAGGGGTTTTGGGACCCCAAAATCACAACATGTGGGTTCTGACCAAAAGAATTCAACCCAATCCTTCTTCCAGCTAAAGACAAGGTTTATTAGAACATCCATCACATTGGGCATACTCTTAAGGAGTCTGAACATGAGTAAGCAGTAGCTAGATTATAAGAATCTAAGCAGTGGCTAGATTTTAGGAATCTGAGCCACGGCTAGATTATAAGAATCTAAGCCTCTTAATGGAGCCAAGGTTGACTTTATATACAGAAAGACTGTGGGAGGGACCTAGAAGTGTCCAGTAAGCTGGGGTGAACAGAACTCCTGGGACCTGGACCTTGTGGCTGGGCTTTACTATGGAAACAGGACAAGGAAAAAACCTGGATCTCCTCCATAATTGCTTATTAATAACCATTTCTTTCAATACATATCTTAATACATATGCATATATATACATATACAGCAAGAAACATATATGTATATATATATATATATATATATATATATTTATATGCATGCATATACTTATGTGTGTGTATATTGTTTCTTCCACTATGTTCTTTGAGGGTAATGGATGTTTTGACTCAAATAACCAGTAGCTAGAACATTGTGTGGCCCTTAGTAGGTACTTAATAAATATTTATTCATTATATTAGGGTAAGAACCAATTTAATTAATTAATCACCAACAAACTATTTAATATTAATAACAATACTTTTATCAGGTGAGAATACTTCTATTGAATGAATCAAAGCATTAAATTAAATGTGAAGTGTCTTTGATGCATTTGG